TAAGTGCGGGGACACACCTGCCCATTTTCCTGTGTCCAGCAGTCGTCTACGCCTGGCCCAGTGCTCGGCACAGACTACGTGCTCAGGGAAATTTACCAAATGATCGCATGAATGAGTGAATGGGAAAGACAGAGCTTGGCTGGCACACTGTAGTTATTTGGAATTGTGATGGTTATTATCATGTAGCATTTTATGACTGTGCGTGTGGAGCTTCAGCTCTTTCAAAATAGAGAAATAATTTATAACTTATTAAAAATAACATAGGAAAATATATATGTAAATATGAATGGCTGTTATTTTCCTTGTGATAATTTTAAATGGAAAAGGAGTAGGTTTTTACATAAGCTTCTGCATGCAATCAGTGGATAGGCCAGTAAATTTTCTGCGAGTGCATGCAAGGTTATACTGCAAATTGCCCATTCATATCCAACACCAGACAGCCATTTTTCTAACCTGGAGAGGGTGTTTATAACTTTTCTTCAATTTGTATACATATTGATACAATAGATAGTTGTACATAAATAGACATTCACCAGCTCCAGCAAAATTCCTGCTGCCAAAGAGAAGAAAAACCTCAGAGTAAGCTGCAAAGAAAGTGCTTGGTTTTTTAAATGTAGAAATGGCAATTCACAGCATTTATACAAATTGCCATGTACTGAGGGTTGCAACTCCAAGAATGAATAGTAAGAAAAGTTGCAGCTAAGAGCAAATCTGAGAACTCTTGTTTTGAAAGTAAAGGCTTAGTCAGTCCTATAGCATTCTGGTAATCTGCATAATATTAACCAGAGTGTTTTGTATTGGGACCAAGACTTTATGTATTGATTTTCTTGTATGTATTATGTCCTGACTAAAACTTCTCTTTAAAATGCTCAAGAAGAAACTTACCTTGGATGAAACAAGAATTCATATGCCCCCTTACATAAGAAAAGCAATGCCAAAGAACGCTCAAACTACCGCACAGTTGCACTCATCTCATATGCTAGTAAAGTAATGCTCAAAATTCTCCAAGCCAGGCTTCAGCAATATGTGAACCATGAACTTCCAGATGTTCAAGCTGGTTTTAGAAAAGGCAGAGGAACCAGAGATCAAATTGCCAACATCTGCTGGATCATCAAAAAAGCAAGAGAGTTCCAGAAAAACATCTATTTCTGCTTTATTGACTATGCCAAAGCCTTTGACTGTGTGGATCACAATAAACTGTGGAAAATTCTGAAAGAGATGGGAATACCAGACCACCTGACCTGCCTCTTGAGAAACCTGTATGCAGGTCAGGAAGCAACAGTTAGAACTGGACATGGAACAACAGACTGGTTCCAAATAGGAAAAGGAGTACGTCAAGGCTGTATATTGTCACCCTGCTTATTTAACTTATATGCAGAGTACATCATGAGAAACGCTGGGCTGGAAGAAGCACAAGCTGGAATCAAGATTGCCGGGAGAAATATCAATAACCTCAGATATGCAGATGACACCACCCTTATGGCAGAAAGTGAAGAAGAACTAAAGAGCCTCTTGATGAAAGTGAAAGAGGAGAGTGAAAAAGTTGGCTTAAAGCTCAACATTCAGAAAACTAAGATCATGGCATCTGGTCCCATCACTTCATGGGAAATAGATGGGGAAACAGTGGAAACAGTGTCAGACTTTATTTTTGGGGGCTCCAAAATCACTGCAGATGGTGACTGCAGCCATGAAATTAAAAGATGCTTACTCCTTGGAAGGAAAGTTATGACCAACCTAGATAGCAAATTAAAAAGCAGAGACATTACTTTGCCAACAAAGGTCCGTCTGGTCAAGGCTATGGTTTTTCCAGTGGTCATGTATGGATGTGAGAGTTGGACTGTGAAGAAAGCTGAGCACTGAAAAATTGATGCTTTTTGAACTGTGGTGTTGGAGAAGACTCTTGAGAGTCCCTTGGACTGCAGGGAGATCCAGCCAGTCCATCCTAAAGGAGATCAGTCCTGGGTGTTCATTGGAAGGACTGATGTTGAAACTGAAACTCCAATACTTTGGCCACCTCATGTGGAGAGCTGACTCATTTGAAAAGACCCTGATGCTGGGAAAGATTGAGGGCAGGAGGAGAAGGGGACGACAGAGGATGAGATTGTTAGATGACATCACCGACTCAATGGACATGAGTTTAGGTAAACTCTGGGAGTTGGTGATGGACAGGGAGGCCTGGCGTGCTGCAGTTCATGGGGTTGTAAAGAGTCAGACACAACTGAGTGGCTGAACTGAACTGAACTGAACTTACATCTTGGGTATATTAATCTGCATGATACCAAGTGACTACATAACCCAATTGTTGGATGGATTTGTTAGTTTGGTGCAAAAGTAACGGAGGTTTTGTACTGTTGAAATTTGCCATTTGATATTGGAATACATTCTTAATTAAATGTGGTTATGTTATACATTATTTTAATGCACATTTCTCACTTTATGTTATTTTGCTAATGAGTTATTACTTTCTGTTTATTTTATATTTATTCCAAATTATAGAAATGATGTTAAACAAAAAGCAAATTCAAGTGGTTTCTTTATTCGAGTTCAAAATGGATTGTAAAGCAGCAGAGACAACTAGCAACATCAACAATGCATTTGACCCAGGAACTGCTAATGAACATATAGGGCAGTGGTGGTTCAAGAAGTTTTGCAAAGGAGAGGAAAGTCTTGAAGATGAACACCACAGTGGCCTGCTACTGGAAGTTGACAACAACCAGTTGAGAGGATCATCGAAGCTGATCCTGTTACAGCTACATGAGAAGTTGCCGAAGAACTCAATGTTGACCATTGTATTGTCATTTAGCATTTGAAAGAAACTGGACAGGTAAAAAAGCTCAATAAGTGGGTGCTCATGAGCTGACTACAAGCCAAAAAAATCGTTTTGAAGTGAAATCTTCTCTTATTCTGTGCAAAAACAATGAAAAATTTCTCCATTGGATTGTGAGGTGCAATAAAAAGTGGATTTTATATGACAGTTGGTGATGACCAATTCAGTGGCTGGACAGAGAAGATGCTCCAAAGCACTTCCCAAAGTCAAACTTCCACCAAAAGAAGGTCATGGTCACTGGTGGTCTGCTGCCAGTCTGATCCACTACAGCTTTCTGAATCCTGAGAAAATCATTACAGCTGAGAAGCATGCTCAGTAAATCAATGAGATGCACTGAAAATGGCAACACCTTCAGCAGGTATTGGTTAACAGAATGGACCCAATTCTTCTCTACGACAATGCCCGACTACATATCACACAACCAATGCTTCAAAAGTCAAACGAATTGGGCTATGACGTTTTGCATCATCTGCCATATTCCTCTGACTTCTCAAGACTACCACTTCTTCAGGCACCTCAACAACTTTTTGTTGGGAAAACAACTTCCACAACCAGCAGGAGGCAGAAAATGCATTCCAAGAGTTTTCTGAATCTCAAAACATGCATTTTTATGCTACAGGAAAAAATAAACTTATTTCTCTTTGGCAAAAATGTGTTGATGGTAATGGTTCCTATTTTGATTAACACAGATGTGTTTGAGCCTAGTTATAATAATTTAAAATTCATGGTCCAAAACTGCAATTACTTTTATACCAACCTAGTAGTATCGGACCAATCAAACCCTAAATATTCATTAGGAGGACTAATGTTGAAGCTGAAGCTCCAATACTTTGGTCACCTGATGCGAAGAGCTGACTCCCTAAGAAAGACCCTAATGCTGGGAAAGACTGAGGGCAAGAGGAGAAGGGGACAACAGATGATTAGATAGCATCAGTGACTCAATGGGCATGAGTTTGAGCAAACTTCAGGAGATAATGAAGGACAGGAGGCCTGGTGTGCTGCAGTTCATGGGGTCACAAAGTCAGACACAACTGAGCGACTGAACAACAACAAATAGTATTTTGCACCTTGTTTTTCTGCTATAATTTTACATACATGCTATGAATTTTATAATTATACAGAAATGTGTAATGGTATCAGCAGAAAATACAAACAGCTCTGAAAAGAGAAAAATTAGAAAGTGTAAGATCCATAGTGAAGTAATACAGATAAGGTAGGAATTTTAAGGTTAAATAATAATATTCAGTTTTCCCACAATGTCATACTTTAGAAGTGGAACAGGCTGCGTGAGGCTAACAGAGCTGAAATTTCTTATGCATTTATATTTTGTGTTCCTTTTTCTTCTGCACATCATATATTCCGTATACATATTCCCCAAGGAAAACTAACTTACATAATTACTTTAGAGTTGTTGGAGGGGAGTGGGTATTTGTGGATAAAAGAAACAGTATTTTTCATGGGTGAATGGACTAAAGTCCAGAGCCTCACCCGATGCTGAGCCAAATACCAGCCGAATCTGGACTTAGGATAACAGTGTCCAGTCTTCACAGCCTCAGCCTCAGTAGCCTCTGAGACTACTCCCTGAGAAATCTATACAGGGAAATATAGATTTAATAACCCAATACCAAACAGAGTTAACTCCTGAGTTTTTATTATAGCAAGGGCTCATATTTGAGATATTCCAAGGCACAAAATAATTGTAAGGGGTGCTTTCATTTTCAAATGAAATGATGCATCTTCCCCCCATCTGCTTGCTTATTTTGGCAGGTGTACATCCTAATGATGTTGTAATGAGGCTACAATTAAAGACAGTTGCCATCTCCTCAGCAAAGACCAATGGGATGGGGTCAGGGTGCTGGGGGTGGAAGACATTTAAAGAGTGGAATGTGGTGAAACAGAAAGTTGGCTCAGGATTAAGAACGTGCTGCAACTAACCCACAAAACAAGTAATCCACAGGCAGGCAATATTACATAGAAGGCCCAAAGGATGCTGTTCTGGTCCTCTAGATACGAATAAATATTCCCATAACATACAGCTTTGCTTAGGATTTACTTTTTTAGCAGAGGAGATTGTCCAGAAATGCTGAAGTAATCTTTTGTGCTTTCAAATGACCATCATGATCTGAGACGAGATGGCCATAACCCGTCCCAAGACCACACAGTTGCACATTACCTTGGACACCAGGCTGGCTCTGTATGCTGCTAGTTGCTTCAGGTACTCCTTCTTCGCAGCCTCTGTTTTCTTTTTATAGACCTGCAACAACAGAGTCTTAAATTAGAAAGCGCATCTGCTTTTGTTTCCAGAGAAGTATAATGCAGAATGATAATTGTGTGTGTGCACACACACACACATACACATACACAGACACAAGACAATAATATGTATCTCCCCAAAGACAGTGTTTTCTTACTGAAGCAAGTTTTTAAGAAGTATGGCAAGAGATTAGATAATAAAAAGATTAACAATAGTAAAACTTCACATTTTGCATAAAGCATATGAAGAGATATATCTGGGTTAGTCTGACAGTGGAGGCAGTTGGTTTGGAAATATACTATGGCTGGAGGTTTCCAGGGAACCACATATGAGTAAAGAAGCCATTCATACCTATATAAGGGGCAGATAATGTTATAGTGCACTCAAATCCTGACATATATAGAGCTTCCCTCATAGCTCAGCTGGTTAAGAATCCGTGAAAGATACTAGGGCAGGAAGTTCTCAGGGAATCACATGTGAGTTAAGAAGCCATTTGTACTTATATAAGGGGCAGATAATGCTACAGTACACCCAAATCCTGACATATATCTCCTTGCTAAATACAAAAACAAGGACAGAATTCAAAGATGATCAATAAAGTTCAACATGCTAATCAAAGAAACAGTTATGGAATTTGCAGGTTCATCACTATTTTAAAGTTTTGTGCCTTGAAGTTCTATTTTCAAAGACTCAGAAATCAGTGATGGCAGTCAAAATCACATTTGGGAGTGGGCTGGGGACGCTGAGTGGCCGAGGACTGCACATGTGCCGTGACGTGTAGCCTGCTCTGGTCATGCCCTTTCCAGAAAACACGCAAAAACACAAAGGATGGTATGGATGTGTGGATGCCGCAATGTGAAAAGGTAAAAATGTTCTGAATTGAGTTTCAATTTACAGCAGCTTTTCATTTTTCATAGGAAATGATCTTGCAAATACAAGTAAAATCATCCTAAATTGAGCAAAAGTACTGAAAAACAACTTGCTGGTAGGCTAAAGGTCACATCGCTAAGCTAACAGAAAAAAAGTTATTAGAGTCAAAAATGAAAGAAGCAAAGTGAATACACTTCGACTGCTACCATTAAGGTAATTCTTTCCAGGCTTTAGAGTCTGCTTTTGTCAATCTTTTGAAATCAGCCCAGAAGAACAAAATATTTTTCACCGTTGGATGCATTTTCATCGATACGACTATTTTAAATTTCCCACATTTTGAATTTTATAGCAAGGAATGAGGCGTGGCTACTACTTTGTAATGCTGAGCTCAAAACCAGACACAGGCCAGCATGAAAAGTGGCTTTAGAATTAGTCAAAGTATTAAATATAAATTATGTGTAAAGGCCAAATATCTACCAAAGTCGCCAGCAGAAGTCAATTTATGGTTTCTGATGTGGAAGGTGGTTTGCTGAGACCAGTCCCTGACTGTGAAATTTAAGGTGTGAGAGATATTACCTACTCATAAATATTTTAATTAAAGCAGAACATTTTACTTAAAGTAAACAAATGAGTAACCTTGTCAACAGAATTATAAAGGACCCTATGAAATGAATGTGCTAATTGTTCTCCCTTAGGGAGTGCTTCAGCCTAGTCTTTCATATTTGGCATTTTGGTATATTATAATAAAGGCAACTATAATAAGGCAATTATGAATTCATACAATAGTATCACACAACCATTGTGTCATCTTTACAATATATGGAACTAAAGAAATTTAAAAGAAATTTTTCAGTAAGAAGCCAATTAATCAATTACAGGAAAATTAATTCAATTACAGGGAAAATTTTAATTTACTGAGCTAATTATTGGAAGTCAAATTCAGATTCTTTTTTAGACACCCATATATGAAAACAAATAAACACTAAATTCCAGCAAATGTCTTTGAACAGTATGATTCATGTATATCATATGCTTTGGTTCAGTCAGAATGAGAAACACGGAGCCCTCTTGCTTTTGATTGATTTATTTCTTTCTTCAAAGACAGATTTCTGTTTGTAGTTCTCCTTCCAATCTCTTCCCCAAGACATACTTTTTATTATTAATGACCTTAAACTGACAATGTTTACATTTACTTTTAATACCTTAAAACGGTTTCCAGGGGGTTTTAACTCCCACACAGACAGAAATCCTATTCAGGACTTTGAAGCAAATATTTAGCAAAAATATCTTCGATGGTAGTACACTTCTGTAAACTTGAAGCATTTCTATCATGTTTTTTATTCATATGTTACTCTAGGTGACCTCCTTGGGCAGCTAACTAGGGTTCATTTAGCTTCCAAAGGCAAATATTACACACGTGGGTCCACAGCATTGCCTGAAGCCTCATTTTCTAAGTAGCACAGGTAAGACGGTGTTCAGACGGACTGACTGTAACATCTATCATCCTTCTTGCCTTCCATTTCTATTGAAAAAACAGCAGTGTTACTACAGGGGGGGCTTCCAGTGGTTAACATCCCACAAGGTGTTAACTTTCCTGAAATTTGTTTATTAACAACCACAGGAGAAAGGTGGCAACTCTGCGTGTTTCAGGCTGGATGTATGCCCCCTGGTTTCAGGGGAGATCGATGTCCTTACGGGAGATCGATGTCGTTACGGGATTCCTGACTAGCATTCAGAGCACCCAGTTTCCTCCAGATGGCTCCCTATCGGCTATTGATGACCAGCTATGTGGGATCATCCTACACGTGCCTAAATACCACTTTAGGAAAGAGGAAACTCATCACGTCACATTACATGGCTTGATGGGTCTGCTTTTCTCTGAATAGCTGCAGATCTTCAGAGGGAGAATTTAAAGGGTGCTGATTTCAGGAGGTATGTTTCTGTAATTGTGTCTAAAGTGGGGTACCCTGGATCAGAATTAAAATCTGAGGTGGCTTCCCCTACAGTAATTTAGAACCTCCACCTTTAAGAACTAGCTAATGGCTCAAACATTATTCACCCTGTATGTCCTTGTGATGCTACCTTCTAAAATTGCACAAGGATGTTTTCTGAATCCTATATTTGATGGAGATGTCTGAAGAAGGACCTCAAATATATCAGAATGATAAAAAAACATGTAAGAATTCCACATACTGAAATTCTTCCTTTAGAACAGATAATTAAAAATCATTAGTAAAAAGTTCCACAAAAACGTTTCAAAGCTCTATTTATGGATGGAGAAAAGTCTTTCACTTGCAGAAACTAGAGATGACGCTGACTGCATTTGCAATGAGCAGTCCACTGCAATGATCAAACGTTCTAACCTAGGGGATGGGTCTGATTTACATCAAAGTTAAGTTTGGGAAAGAAATGGTCTCTCTCTCTCTTTCTCAGGGAAAGACAAATATTTTAAAGAAATGTGATTCACACAGTAAATATTAGTACTCAGCTGAACTACAAAATGGCTTCCAAATGGTCTACAGCTGTTTGAAATAAAGTGCAAAGTTGGCCAGATGAGGATTTAAAAATCATAATACATCATTTATCATTTTCCCCAGCTCATCCAAACACTTTTGAATTCATCCTGTCCTAACTTAGTTAGTTGCTATGGTTTGTTATTCTAAGAAAGCTACCATACCCTATCTAAGGATTGCATCTCAGTGGTTAAGTTAAAACATATAATGGCTAAACTAAAACAGACCTCAAATGGCAGTTCTAGAGAATACATATTCTGTTCATGTAACCTAGTGATTCTATGAATCATTTTTTTAGTTGCACTACATTCCAGAATGTATACACATTTTTATAAGCAAATAATCTCTAACTAAAATCAGCAGTTCAGTATCAGTGACTACGGATGCACTCAAACAGAAAACATTCTAATATAACCTGTCATTTTGCTTTTTTCACTTTCTGCTCCTTCCCCAAACAATCCATCTAACTTATATAGAAAAGTAAAATTTTATAAATACCATTTAATTCCTTCTTCCTTCCTTCTTTTTGACTCTGGTCCTTAGTTAATCTCTAGTTGTAGTTTATTTCAACTCTTTGCAGTAATAATAAGAAAAAACACAGTTCTTCTAATTCTGGATTTTATTCAAACACTATAAAACTAAAGGCACTTTTCTTTTTGGTTAACTTCAAATGCAGTTTTTCCCCAGTATAATTTCATATTTATAGAAAATGCTTAGAAACATGGTTATGTAAGAAATAATAATTTAATCTCATTTCCCTGTAATATACAGTACTTGAGAAATTAACGTTTGCAGCATCTTTGAATGCTATTATTATTTAGGACAGTTAGAGCAAGTGCATCTGTGTTTACACAGAACTTAGTTCTTAAATGCAGTTAAATTTCCATTTGTGTAACTTGCTCAGCGTTTTCTTAAGCATTCCAGAACTCAGAGAACTTTATAAAGTGGTATTCAGAGAACTGAAAACATTATACAACATGACAAAAATTTTGCTATCGATTCTTTTTGGGATCCATCAAATGCAAACACATCGTCTACACAATAATGGGATAACCTGTTTCTGGAATGGTAGGGATCAGAAGCAAGCTCTTAACCTGAAAATACAGCTGAAAAATATATCTGTCAGTTTATTAAATGAGGATGAGAGTGTAATGTTCAATTATACTTAACAATATAGTGAGTATCTATTATGTGCCTGCATGGTGTGAGGAACAGAAGCTACAAAACCAAAAAAAGTATTAAAATATGCTTCTATTGTGTGCATTTTTTGTGTCAGGCATATATATATATACATATATACATATATCTAATCAAACTGGTCTGGTATCTGAGATTTATCTGTTTATGCAACAGCTCCTTCTGGTTGCATGAGGATGCCTTGGATGCCTCAATCAGACCCCCAACCACAGGGCAGCCCTTTTAGGCGGAGCAGAGTTTGGCACATAAAAGGTGCTCAGGAAATACCTGTGATAGAGTGTATAATCCCTGGTCTCAGGTTTCTCCTCTGTGAGTCAGCATGGGTGTGGTACTCATGGTAAAACACCAAATTGCATCTTCTAAATGAGAGTGGGCATCAGTGGCGAGAGGACTTGGTATACAAAGAGGTAACCTGCCCTC